TAGCCAGGTATGAGGGTTGATTTGTTTTTTTGGCCAGATGATTTTTTTTCTTTTTTTTTTTTTTAGAAAAATAGATTAATTGAAAGTAAGAAACTTTGGACCTGTTTTTTGTCTTCTTCTGGAGGCTTTCAGCCCTTCTCTGCCTCATTCCTTCTCTCCCTGATTGTCCATGTCAACAGACTGGGAGGAAGGAGCTGAGCTGACTTCCCTCCGTGGCCATGGACATCAAAACTTGGCTGTTTTGATGGGAAATTGATTTGATGGGAAGCAATAAAGATGAAATTCATGATATAATGATATAATGCTGTTTAATCTGTGCTCCATTAGAAGTAATACCCTCTATAGGGAGCCATAATGGGGCTGCCTTGGACTTCATTTGGAGACTGTTCATGCCAATTTTTTTTTTAAGCTTTTTTAACATGTTAAGCCCCAGCAAAGGTTCCTGCAGCACATCAGACCTTCCAAGGTGTGGAGTCTCTGCTGAGGGAGGTGGTGGGGCCGTGTGGTCCTGGCTCCTGCAGCTCCTCTGTCCAGCAGCACAGGGGTTTTGACTCCAGAGGTCACTCCATGTGACAAACCCTGCATTTCATAAGGGATTTTATCATTTTAAAGAAGGAAAACATTTGAAAACCCTGAAAGGAAGATGGAAAAATCCTTTTACTGTGTTGTTTCTCCTTCCTTCCTTCCCTCTGGCACATCCTCCTTGTTTTCCTCCTCCCCTGCCCCAGCGGAGACCTCCAGAAGACGCCAAGCCGTGGATTTTGCCGCATCGGGTTCGGAGCATGTCCCAAACATTCCCAACACGTGTGGGGCAAGTGCAGCCACCATTGGCAGTTTATTTTTTTTCCATTTTTATTCCCCCCCCCCCCCAAAAAAAAAAAAGCCCAGCCCGTGGCTCCCTCTCCGGCTGCGCAGGGATAACAATGGGGCGCTTTGTGCCGCTCTGCAGCTGCTGAAACTTGACGAGATCCAAGTGAGGAAAACAGGAGCAGGTGGGTCAACAACGTGACCCTTTCGTTCCCAGCAGGATCAGCGGGAGCCCCGGGATGGAGCCCAGGAAATGAGGATGTGTTGGTTGGTGCCTTGAGGATGGGAACTGCCCTGCTGCTGTTTACCCAAATGGGTTCCAGCCCAAAAATTCTGGGATTGGGCAGTGTGGCTGTAGGGGATAAACAGCCTTGGCTTCACACAGGAAACTGTGACTGCCCCTGGATCCCTGGAAGTGTCCAAGGCCAGGTTGGATGGGGCTTGGAGCAACCTGGGAATAGTGGAAGGTGTCCCTGCCCATGGCAGGGGGTGGAATGGGATGAGCTTTAAGGTCCCTTCCAACCCAAACCAGGCTGTGATTCCGTGATTCTATCACGATTTCCCCTCTGAGTCCCCCCAGGTCATGGAGATGATTTCCTGCATGTCCATGTTTTTACTGTGCCAGTGCAGTCCTAGAAAATGCCCAGGGTGGGAATTGCTTGGAGGAGGGTTTGGTCCGTGGTGGTGGTGGAGGATGTGGTTGTGTTGTGCTCCTTTCCCTGGCACTGCCACATCAGCAAATCCATCTCATCGTGGAATCCTGGAATGGTTTGAGTTGGAAGGGACCTCAAAGCTCATCTTGTTTCAGCCCCCTGCCGTGGGTAGGGACACCTTCCACTTCATCACCTTCATCAGTGCTGCCTGCCTGACAGTAAGAGGAAGGTAAGATTAAGGAGAAAACCACTCTCAGTAATGAAAAGTGTGGGTCAGCAAAGATCCACTTGTTCCTCAGCTCTTCCCTGCCCAGGTGTGGTGACCTGGGTTGATTCCCTGCAGGTGTCATGGTGTGTTTGGCCTTTGTGGTGGTTTTCTAAGGTGGCAAAGCTCCAACTTGAGCAGAGACACAGTTATGGCCTGGGAGCTGTCTAAGGTTGTGAGGGGTTTGGGGTCTGAGGCTGGTGAGGGCAGATGTGAACAACTGCTTGTGAGTCAGCAGCTGGAAACAGGAGGTTTCTGGTGATGGATCTTGTAATCCTGGTTCCAATATCAATTTACAATCAAGCCCCAATGTGAGATGAGGCAGAGCCCCCCCCTTGTACCTGGAGCTGTGGATGCACTTGTGGTGTTGAACATGTTCACGTGCTCGGAAATCCTCCTGATTTAGCTGTAATTTCAGTAGAAACCGTGTCATGGGGAGCATCTCAGATATCCCACCATCACAAGCATTTCCACTGCTGATGGAGCAGTGCCCAGCTCAAGCCCTTTGTTTGCTCAAGATGAAGCCTGAAAGAGGAATGGTCTCAGTGATCTTAGGGATCTTTTCCAGCCTTTAAAGATTTTCTAGGAATGACAGGTTGTGGTCAGGATGAGTCCATGCTAACTGGGCAAGGGGAGGAGCTTTGACAGGGGGGTAAGAGCAGGAGAGCTGGTGCTGGGCAAGATGCAAGGTGAGGAGCTTATTGGGGTGGAAGGAAGATGGATGGAGGCCGGAGAGGAGCTGAGTGCAGGCTCTGTGAGTGTTGGGAGCGGAAAGCTGATCCGCACCACCCCACTGCCAGCTGCAGACACTCCATCCCTCGGGAAGGGCTGGTCATAAATCAGAGCCTCTCCCAGCCTTGGGGTTCAGCAGGGGCTTGGTGGGCTCTGCTCTGCAGGTCAGGGGTGCAGCTGGACGGGCAGGGTTCGAGCAGGTTTAGGCTCAGCCCCGTGAGCCGTGGTTTGTCCTTGGCTGCACTCGCAGTTAACCCCGCTGGGTGTGGGCTGAGCTGGCCCCTGTCAGCAGCGGGGTCTGCAGCATTCCCTGCCCACAGCTGGCAGCTCCGCTCGCCCTTCCTGGCACGGCCCGGGCGGGTTGTGCCGCTGGTCTCGCAGCCGGGCGGGGCCGGTGCCAGGATTCCGAGTTGTCCCTTTGGGACAAGGGGCACAGGTGCAGGGTCTGGGCCCTGCTCTGGGCAGCCAGCACATCCCGGGATGTGTGTGCCGGGAGTGCATCCCGGGAAGGCTCGGGATGTGTGTGCCAGGAGTGCATCCCGGGAAGGCTCGGGATGTGTGTGCCAGGAGTGCATCCCGGGAAGGCTCGGGATGTGTGTGCCGGGAGTGCATCCCGGGAAGGCTCGGGATGTGTGTGCCAGGAGCATCCTCCCACAGCCCTCCTGACCCCCGGGAGTGGCTCTGGGCAGCACCTCGAGATCCTCCTGTGCCCCTTCCCTCCACACTCACAGGCACCTCCAGCCTGGGCACCGGGGTTTGGGGTAAAATCACTTTTGGGAAGCGAGCAAAAGCGCTGCTGTGAGAGCTGAGAGGCTGCTCTCCCAGGGGAGGGATGCAGGGGCTGTGGGGATCCTGCTCCAGCATCCATCCTATGGATCTGCAGGGCAACCCAGCGATTAACATATGAAAACGTGGCTAACAGTGGGATTCTTGTGCAGGCAGGGATGAGGGAGATGGACGACCCCTTTTGGTGCCAGTCGGCCCCAGAGCCGCTCTTTGGGCACAATTAACCTCTCACATTTGGAATTAGCTGGTGCTTTCCTGGTGCAGCTGCTTTTAGCACAGTATTCTTCACTTCTCCTCCCTGAAGCGCTAATTTAGGCAGTTGGGGTGGGTTTGCTGGAAACCACAGGATGTATGGAGGGAGAATTGGGAGTTTTTAATAGCTGTGTGATGTATAATAATATGAAGGGGGAAAAATCCATTTTTATTTAAGGGACTTTGTGTGCATTAAGGTAAAAAAAAAAAAAGGAGGTTTCCTCACTGCTACTGAAAATATTTTAAAGCAAATTCAAGGTAGTTTTGCTTGTGTGACAACATGAAATCATGGCTTTGAAAACTCTTCTGGTGGGGGATCAGGTGGCTCCGGCTGGAGCTGGAAGGAGTGGATGGGTTTGGAATGTTTCCTGCCTGTTTGGGCTGGGTGAAGGGAGGGGTTGTGGATCAAACTTGGAAAGTGCCTGGAGAACCCTTGGGAAGGAACACGAGAGCCAAGGACAGTGCCTGGTTTAATTTGTGTGGACGTGTAGGTGGGAACATGTCTTAAATGTGTCCAACAAGTGGCTCCAACAATGTTACTGAATTTTCAAGAACTGTCCTCACCAAGGTGCTTTTTCAATGGTTTTAAAGTATAATTATGTTGCACAGAAATTATTATTTGAGGATAAGAATAATTGGAGGTGGGACAGAGCAGGAGGAATTTGGTTTTGGCAGCAATACCTTCTTAATTCAAAACGTGGTGGAGGTTGGACTTCACCTGTCACAACAGAGCTGTGTGTTCTGCCTCTTCCAGAGGACTCATTTCAATATTTATACTCTGGGCTGGAACAAGAAAATGCAAAATGCAGATTTGCATGAATTAGGGAAAGTCTGGCTTCTCCAAAGCATCCGGAATCACAGGGAGCAGATTCGTGGTGTGATCCCAGGGCTCTGCTTTGATCTCAGCTCTGCTGCTTCAAACCAGGGTAGTTTTGTTAAACCCAGCCATGTGTAAAATCCAGCAGTGGGTCAGACTGGCCCAGTGGACAGTTTGGACTGTTACCATTACGATTTTTCTTCCTGATAAAAAATTCCAATTGCACTTAATATGTTGGTGATACATAAGACTTAATGAGATCTTAATCAACATCTTTTGAGATAAAAGTGCCCCGTTTCGGCACAAATCCAGCACAGTCAGAAGGACTGTTGGCTCCTTGACTGGAGGAATCAGTGGCCCTGCTCAGGGCACTTAAATCATGTTTGTCTTTGCTTTGTGGAAGTTAATAATTTTTCTCTCTCTTCACACTCATAAAATACCCATTTTTGTGGAGCATGTACTTGTAGAACAACACAACCCAATGCATGTCATTCACTCTGTAGCTTCAAACACCTGAACCCCCCACTGTGTGTGATGCATTAGGACAGCTGGTACGCTGATTCCTCCCAAATTAAACTTAAAAAGCATCGAAAGTGGGTTTTTTTTTTAACTTCTTCAGTGTTTAAAATTAACCAGAGGATAACTTACAACTCTTCTCTCTTTCCTTTCTCACGCGCCGGCACCGCAGGATGGGAGTCGCAGCTCCTGGAAACGGGATTCCTGGGGATATTCCTGTGCCCTCTCTGGACCTTGTCCCGCCTTCCCCGGCACACTCCTCCTTCCAGCATCGTCATCTGGGGCTTCCGCTGGCTGATCTTCAGGATCATGCTCGGAGCGGTGAGTGGCACGGGGGGCTTTGCTTCTTCCAGGTGGCAGCAGAAGAGGGGAGGTCTAACCTGGCAGGAAACCTGCCCTGGGTCCATCAGAATGTCATGGGTTAGGGATTTTTCCTGGTGGAGGAGGAACGTGTGGCGGGAAATGCTTCACAGAATGCTTGGCACTCGCTCTTAGGGGTTTCTTTAAGGGTAAAATAGAGCAGGAGTGTCTGTGTTGATGTGTTGGTGCTGCCCCTGTGGTTGGCCCTTGCAGAGGAAGGAAAGTGGAGCCTTGGGCATTGCGGCTTTCTCATAAGATTGTGAGGAATCAGTGGGTAATTCCCAGGAAGCAACAGCTTTACCCAGAGTTACTTTTCCTTTGTATGTGCTTTACTGAGGTGTCAAATAGAACAATCACTGCCTTACTGGCCCAGTGCCAGTGGAAATTCCCAAGCAGCTTGTAAGAGAATCCATCAGGAACTGCCCCATCTCTGTTGCAATAAAGGTGTGGCAGGGGCATTATCCTGACATCTCCATCTGCTTGGACCCTTCAAAATATCCCAGAACTTTAAGGATCCTCACTGTAGGAGGGATGATTGGGTGGTTGTTTTGGTCAGGTGTTTTTTTCAGGAATCTGATGGTGAATGTATTATTTTGGGGCATTTGTCACTGATGGAATCTTCCCAAAAGTCAGCATAGGCCCTTCATCCTCTATGGATGGAGGCTGGATCCTGTGGGCTTGGTGCTTCTCAGCTTCTGAAATGCTTCAAGAAAGGCCTGGATGTGGCACTCAGTGGGTGACAGGGTGGTGATGAATCAAAGATTGGCTTCAGTCTTGGAGAACTTTTCCAACCTAAATGGTTCTGGGTTTCTCAGTTGTGATACTGATTATAGAACGAACTGATTGTCAATGACATGGAGTGTAGGGAAAGGCACCCAATTTCCTTAACGAATGACACAATCACCAGATTTCCCCCCTGTTTTCCCTCAGGTCAGCTGTGTTTTCTCACCTTGTGCTGGCTGTTAGGTGAGCAGTGCCACGTTTGAAATACACCTCAGGTGAGCAGGGAGGTCTCTCTTCTGTAATGTGGTGGCTCCCAGTGAAGACTCCACGTTCTCCTCCTATTTTTGTGGTTGGTTCTTGTATCGTGGGGCTGATTTCACTTGTCAGTCTTTTCTCCATTCATTGTATCCTATTTGGGCTCTTTTTCCACGTGGAGCTCCAGCAGCCAGAGGCTTTGCACTGAGCAAACCTGGTCTAGAGGAAGGTGTTGGAGGAAGGGTTGGAACGAGATGATCTTTAAGGTCTCTTCTGACCCAAACCATTCTGTGATAGGGGAGTTTTGCTGTTTCCTGGCTAATCTTCCCCCTAGAAAATCACATCCAGATCTTGCTTCATTGTCCATGTCTTCCCTGGGGCTGGCTGGGCTCGCTTAGGGGAGGTGGAGCGATGGGAAGCGGAGTAATCCAGGCTGTGCGTCGTGGGAGCCGAGGAGCTGCCGCCGGGGTTTGATTGGCAGCAAGTGCTGGGCTGAGCTCAAATATTGCTGACTTCTTAAGAGGCGTAATGAGGTGATTCAATCTATATGTTTGATGTTCCCAACAATCCATTAGCGCGGGATGTAAAGCCGGATGCTTCCTGGGAGCCGCGCAGAGGCGACGGAACAGCGGCTCTTTGTGTGAGCGAGCGCTTGTTGGGAAATAAGTGATGCAAACAGACATTTGTGGGGCTGATTCGCTCAGAAGAGCTCAGTGCCTCGATGTCTCCATCGCTCTGCTTGTGATGATCCCTGTGACTCAGGTTTCTTGCAGCTTGTAAGGTGCAAAGTGTTGGTTTTCCCACCGGGATCGCGGGGTGGGGGAGCAAAGGTGCGTGCCTGGACTTGTGACACCTCCCCTGAGAAAGGACGAGAGGAAAAGGCCTCAAGTCACACCAGGGGGTTCAGAGCAGAGATTAGAAAAAGCTTTTCACTGGCAGAATGGTCAGGCATTGGGAAAAAGTTGCCCAGGGAGTGTGGTGGAGTCACCGTGTCTGGAAGTGTCCGAGGGGTGCCTGGATGTGGCACTTGGGGATGTGGTTTTAGGGATTGTGGTGCTGAGGTGACTGACCTCAGATTTCCAGGGATGGGGCAGCCACAGCTTCTCTGGGTAACTGAGAAGAATTATCACTAGTGGGGATGGAAGGAGGATGTGGGGGAGGTTTGAGCACTGGGAGTGTAACAGCACGTTGGGAAACTGGGAGTAAATAGGGAATTAAGGTGGAGCTGTCCTGCAAAGGATCACAGCCATATGGAATAAGTTACCAGGGAAAGTGGCTGGAGCAGAGGCTGTGAGTGAGTCTGAGACATCTTGATTAGTTTCTGGAGGAAGGGATTGAAGAGTGGAGTGAAAAAGCAGGGAAACGGGATTTAAAGCACATTACCACTTTAATTTAAAAGTGCCCAAAGCAAGGAAATTCAGATTTAGAGCTGCCAATCTCCCCCTGGCTGCTGCAGGTGCTGGGGTCGGGAGGACTGCGGGGTCTGTGTCCAGATGGGTCCGTGCCCCGCGGGCTCCGCTCCACGAGCCCGAGCCTCAGGTTTGCCCCAGGAATGAGATCCTTTAATGTGTGTGCTGTGCAATAATCTAATATCAATATTGAGAATATAAATGTGTTTTTATGTACTCATCTGCTCTGTGCAGTGTCCTTGGCATCTTCCTCGTGTGATGCCCTTAAACTGCTGCAGGGCTGGTGGAACCCCAGGAGCTGGGATGGGATCCCTTGGGAAGGGGTTTGCTTCTCCCCCTTATCCTGGAGAGCCCTTTCCAGGGTTGATCCCTCCCTACCCAGGGTGTGTCACACACAAAGGTCCTGAGGAGCACAGGGGGGAATTTAGGGAAACCCAAGTGCGTCTTTTCCAGCTGGGGTTTGTGACTTGGCGCTCCCTCCCCTTGCTTTGCTTCCTGTAAACAAAATTTTTCTTTATTTTTTTTTCCTCTTCCATTTCCCAGATTTCTCTTTCTGACTGTAACTCCAGATTGACCCCCCCACCTCCCCAAATCCAAGCTCAGCCTCTCTGAGCTGTTCAAGTACATCCTCAGAAGCTACTGCAGAACAGAGGAGTTTGGAGCAGTTTTTGGCAGGCAGACACTTAGAAAATAATTTAAATCCTCTGACGTTTCAAGACTGCACAAAAGATAATTTCCCCTTTTACAGGAGGAAAAAAGATCATTTAAAGTGGTAGTCTTGGGAAAAAAAAAAGGAAAAAATTATTTATAATAATCAGCAATAACCTTTCCCCTTAACCAGGAAAAAAATTTTGACAATTTAATGTTGTCCCTCTTTCCCAGGCATGTGTTGTCACAGGGAAAGGATCAATTATTTCCAGATTATTTGTGTATCGCTTGATATTTGATACATTTTGAAGTGATTTTGCATTTTTCTTTACTATTAAAAAAAACCAAAGCACTTCATTTAACCAACTGCAGCAAATCCTTTTAGAGGCTCGTGGTTCGTGTTTAAACCCTTCGAGTTTCTTGTTTTGTTTTCGCTTGGATCCCGTTAGAAGTGTCATAACGTGGGTGGCATCTGAAAGGTTACTGGAAAGGGTGGGGATGTGATTAGCTAATAAGGGAGATGAACTCTCTGGCAAAAATACCCAAGGCTTTTGAAGCAAACAGAATCTGGATGCCTGGAGTAAAATCGCATTAGATGTAATGAAATAAAAGTGGGAATTTCGGCGATCCCTAAATGCAGAGAGGAGGAGGAGGAGAAGCAGAATCCAACGGATGTAGTTGTCATCCCGGTGACAAGCGTGCCCTGATCCTGGGCATTATGGCTCTGAAATTGAGAATAATTATTCTAATTTGTTTTATTACATTAGCGTGGGTAGGAGGGAAGAAAGGGAGCTTTCTTTCCTGGCTTTCTCATTATTCATGGGCAGCGCGGCGGGGCCCGGCTCCCGGCTCCCGCGCCGGGGCTTCATGGGAATTTTTGGAAAATGATGTCTGCAATGTTCTGACCTTTGCCGTCCCAGCTGCAGCCCTCCTCCTCTCTGCAGGGATCCCACACTTGACTCCTTAGCAACCTCCTTTGTGCCTCTGATCTCTCTCCATTTGTCTGGTAATAGCCCTTGGCAGGAAGACTTGTTGTTCCTTCGGTGGCTGTAAAAGGCAGGAGCCGCTAATGCCAAGGACTTTTCAAAATCCCTTTCACCCACTCCTTGCAGCGCTGCCTTCAAAGTCACCCAGATGCTGCTGCGGTCGTGGTGGCTTCTCAAAAGGGTCTTTCTGGGGAGCTGAGGGGGAAAACCAGCAAATCAAACAGTGGTGACTTCCCTTCCAGGAATGCGGTTTCCAGTCCCTCTTCTTGTGGTGGTTCGTGGTTGTGTTTGTGGTGACTCTGGTTTGGCTTCTGTGCTGGGCCAACTCCTGCCTCTTTTAGCAGGGTCTGGATGCTCACCTGACCTTCTGCAGGTGGGGCCTGTCCTGGGGCCATCTCAGAGCCCATCTGTGCAGGGGGTCCCAGGAAGGTGTGGGGTCTCTTCTCCTGCGTCATCATCACATCCTGGAATGGTGTGGGTTGCAAGGGACCTCAAAGCCCATCCAGTTCCACTCCTCTGCCATGGGCAGGGACACCTTCCACTAGCCCAGGTTGTTCTAAACCTCCATCCAACCCATCCTTGAACACTTCCAGGGATGGGAATTGTTCCAGAGAATCTGGGGCCTGATCTGTAATGTGCTGATGTTGGACCAGGGCTGATGTTCTCCAGATGATGGGGAGTGCCATGTTGTGCAGGCTTGGATCTAAACAAGAGCTTGGATCTGCTCTTGACTGTGGGCTTGGAAGTGATTTGCAAGGTACAGAACGTCAGCAGTGTCAGCTGAGCAGCATCAACCTGTCATTGTCTGGCTAAAGAATCAGAAGATATGGAGGGGTTTGGGTTGGAATGGACTTTAAAGCTCATCCAGTTCCAACCCCCTGCCATGGGCAGGGACACCTCCTACTAGCCCAGGTTGCTCCAAGCCCCATCCAGCCTGGCC